GCCACAACAAAAACCTAAAACCCTGTTTTCCCAATCAACCACCAATGGGGTCATCCATAAATGATGTCACGCTTTTTTGAAGATTTTTACCTCCCACCTCCCCTCGGTCACATATCTGTCACAAAAAGCCAGACCCCGCCCTCTAAAATGACGTCACACCTCAGCCTACACCCCCCCCCCCCACCCGGAAAAGTGGCACCCCTGTATATATATACTAACAATGTTAGTAACACAAGCATTATGTCTTATCAGGGTGGAAGGATTTTGTCTTAATTATTTTGTTTACTCTGGTTTATTATTATTATCATTATTATATCATTATTTCATCATATTTTTTGTCTACAGGTAAATCAAAGGATGATGCCATGAAAGAATATGTTGCCAAAGTAGATGAACTAAAGAAGGCTTATAATTAACTTGCAGTATTATTTGCAACAATCTGGTTTGATTAAATTTCTTAAACATTAATAAGGTTTTTAGTAATTTCTTTGATTTTATTGGTCTTGTGTAAACAGCAACTACAATTTTATATATATATATATATATATATATATATATATATATATATATATATATATATATAAAGCAGTGTGTGTGTGTCTGTCTTTTATTAGCAGTAGTGGCGCCCCGGCAGGGTGCGATTTGTTTTTTCTCTATATAAAAATAAAAGTCGATTTTGGTCTGACACCATTCTTCCGATCACCATCAAACTTTGGTGAGTTCATTAAAACACTCAGGCAAAAGGTTCTGTAAAAAATAATTTTTAATTTTGCGAGGGCGGCGCCACGGGAGGGTGCGATTTTTCTCTATATACGGTATATAAAAATAAAAGTCGATTTTGGTTTGCTCACATGGGCCGCTGAAGGCCATGTAATACGTTTTATTTTAATAATCAGAAAAAATTAACCAAGGTTAGATTATTAACTGGGATGTTTCTTTTTGTCCGTAAAAAAAATCCAGTTTCGCCACTTTGCGAATGATGCAATTAGCATCTATTTTTAGATAATCCAATCACAAATTGAGATCGAGCATCTAAGAATAGATCATTAGTAACGCTAACATATTGCATCAGCCACACTGATGTTTAAAACACGTCAAATAATTTTTCACGTTTTAAATAACAAATCCTGTTCATTTGTGTCACTTTAGCGAATGACGCAATCTGCATCATTGTTAACAGGATGCTATTTGGCACGATGGCGCCTGTTAGTTTTAAGGAGTCAAGGGAGGTACGCCGCGCCTATGCGGTAGTGTAATGGGGGAGGGGGGCTCCTGAGAGCGCCCCGCTACGTCTCTGACACATGGGCGGTCACCGAAGTGTGTTCTACCATATTGTTTCGGTGAGTGATTAATGTACACTCAAGGTTTTCATGCTGTAGTGTAGGTAAACCTGTGTCCAGATATTTATGATCCAAGCGCAGGTATTGTTTACATTTAAATAACTCACTTTTAGAAAACAAGGTCACGAATATAGGATTGGTATTACGTCGGACTTTCTTCTATTCCCGCGGGACGAGTACGCTAGTATATATATATTTAAATATATATATGAACAAACTGATATCAATTAACAAAATCCAACTGTTTTAGTTAAATATCAAATATGACGTTGCATACATTACTGTCTGTGTTCTAAATTAATGTTTACGGAGAAATTAATTCTTTGGAAAATTTATTATTACTTTTCAATACCATGTAGTTTTCCAAAATTTTAAAATATAAATACTTTTGCCAAATGCTATTTTAGATCCTGACACCAATTAATTAACCAGAGATTTTTCGTCCAAACTTTTTTTTTTGTTTCAATGTCTAATTGTTACATATTCATTTAGAAACTATAATTGGCATTTTTTAAAGACAATTCAGGAATTTAATAGCTGAGATGGTGATCATGCCAAATGATTAAAAACTCTTAGATGATACATTTCTTTTCAGAAAGATAGTAGCAAAGTAAGTTAAACTAACAAGGATAATTGTATTTTTCATGATTTTTGTGCACTGAAAAAAATAACTAATAAAAAGTATTTGCATAAAATCTTACACTTTCCAGAAGACTTTCTTAAAGCTGATTTCTTAAAAAAAAAAGAACATCAACCTTTTTACATTTATCTTCAATCTTCTTCATGTTATAAGAAACAAGTACTGTGAATAACTTAACATTCCAAATAAACTGTAAGGCTTACTTTATTACAAATTTTTATATTATTATCACCAAAGTAATGATCTAAATATACAACAAATAAATTACAAATTTTTAAATTTGCATCAATTATTTGTTAAAATGCTCAATTTTTTTTGAACATTTTGCACAAAAAATAAATAAAATGCAAAACTAAAACAGATGGTTAACATATTAAACAGGAGCAACTTTTGTTCACGAAAATGATAGAACCAAACATTTTCCTCCAAATCTAGCTATATTTTGGGATATGGGACTGCATGGCCTAGTGGCTAGACTGCTAATCTCAAGTTAGAATCCGGGTTCAAGTCAGTAGAACATTCAGTAGTTCACCCAGCTCTGATAAGGGAAAGTAAAGGTAACAGAAACGTGAACTCTACCTCACTTGCTCCATTGACAGTCTGGTTCATAATGGAAACTTTACTTTTTAAGTACAAATCCTACAACTTGTGGATCGATGTAACTGTCTAAATCCAAAGTAGCTGCTGTCCTATATAGAAACTTACACTAAGGTTACTATTATACACATTCACCCTTAGAGTACCAGCAGTAGAGGATGAAGATTGGATCTACATAGCTTTAATTGATGAAAAATAAAATTAATTTTGTATTATCAGTTAATGATTCATTTTAAATAAATAAATGAAAAACTACATTGGTATGTTGATTTTTCTTCTGCATTCTTAATTGAGTTTATGTTGGAGGATTTAAACAACAAGTCCAACTAATAAGTTGATTAAAAATGGAAATTTTATTGTTAAAAATGGTATTTGCGCTATCAAGAATATCTTTTTAAATGGGACTATTATGACTAAATAGGTCAAGACCTACGTCAACTTGTTAAAATTATTATAATAACTTTATCAGACAAATTTAACAAAGTTAAAAATTGCATTCTATTAACAGAATTAATTCATACCTTTACTGAGCATGTAAGTAATGTAGGCAATAATTTACAAAATTTACATGCACGTTCATGCTTATTCAATTCTATACAAAGCATGCCAAAAAAGTTTATAAATAAATCAAAATAAATGTTTTTAGATATTTACTACTTTAACATAATTTAATCAAAATAGACTCCAAACAGGAAATCACAGCCAAAAGTTTTTCTATTAGTATCAGATTATGTGCTTTATTTACTGTCATCGTCTGTTGAAAAATTACCCAAAAAGCCTTACTTTTTGTCTTTAAAAATTATATTCTACTTGTACTTCAAAATTATTTTCATTGCAACTTCACTTTATAATTTTAAAATATTTTATCTTCACAACCATTGTGTGGATATAAAAAATTATATGAATATATATATATATATATATATATATATATATATATATATATATATATATATATATATATATATATATATATATATATATATATATATATTATATATATATATATATATATATATATTATATAAAATAAATATCATATATATATATATATGGCAAAAGATAATTAAAATCTCATAAACCACTGGAAATTATTTGTTATTTGTCTACAAAAATATCAGCTGTTTTATAATGTGAGAGAATATTCATTAAAAAAAATTAAACAGATAAGTAATGAAGCTTTTTTTTATAAGAGGGAAGAGCTAATTTAAATGATTTTATAAAACTAACAATTTCCAACTTATATAGTTAGGTAATAATGACAAGCTAAAATTATTTTTAAAAATGTACAAAGATAGGTCTGTATAATAAGGAAAACAGCTTACATACTGTAACATAAATAATGTTATTTTTTCTTTTAAATAAAAGTTTAATACAGTGGTGTTATTTTATTTTAAATCACAAAAGTAGCACCACATTAAATGCTATTCATCAACAAGAATTGCTAACACTAGCATAAGAATTTAAGTTCTGAGAGGAACATTTTTTTTATTCTACTGTGTTTATTTTAGTAGAAGCTTCTTTACACAAGTAGTACAGCAAACATTTACCACAAAGAGCATCATTACATTTCTCAGAACACAGGTTAAACTTTACAAAATTTGGGGAAAAAAAACAAACAAAAAACAGCTGTTTTTTAAACAAATTTTTTCTCTTATCTTTGATTTCTTTTTTAGAAACTTAATAACTGTCTTCTAAGACAAACTGTTTTAACAGTTTGCATTTAATTTTACTGGAATTGAGGTACATTTTGCACATACATAGGCAAAGGATATTCTTTATTTAATAAACATCTAGTCTACAGTATATTTCTACAAGACAAGACAAGTTTTACATTTCTGTAACTCAAAGGACTTTTTAATTTTCATTGTCAAGCGTGCAAAAATTATTATATAGACATTTAAGCCAACTTAGGCGACTGAATATTGGCTTTTAAAATATTTTAATTTAATCATTTATATACATATAGATGGAAATTTACCATATACGATATACTATACTGTGGTACGGGAAAATATTGCAATTGATAATTTCATATTTCACAAAAACACCTATTGCTAAAACCAGTTTTGCTCAAAGCAACTAACAATACAAGGTGAGATAGGAAGAGTTATATACAAATTGTTTTAATAAACAAGTAGAATGGAAAGTAAACATTCTGATAGGTTATATAACACTTTAAACTTTTGCAGATCCCGACTCAGAATAAGGTAAACTTTTTTTATGAGAATATTGAGTAGAATGACTATTATAATTCTTTGAAATCCCTGTGTGAATCTGATGATTATATCTTGGTCTGTAAAAAAACTGCCCATCTGTTCTAACATATTCTTCAAAGTTTGATGTTGAGGAGTTCTCAAAAGCTTTATATGAATGCTGCGGTGGATATTTGATGTGAGAGCTCTGAGATGTTTTCATTGTAAAATGGTATGGTGAGTGGTTATTGTTTCCAGAATGAGTATTCCCAACATAAGTGCTGTTGTTGCCATACTGCTGGCTAAATTTTGGAAGACTATTGGAGTACATAGAGCTGCTGTTGTTCACATTCACAAGAGATGTATGTTTTTTAGATATTTCCCTTGCGCTTGCAGGTCTGAAAAAGCAAAATGTATTTAATTGTTAAATTTTTAATGTGACTTATAAGAAACAGGAATGCTATTAATTCAGATCATTAATTGTCAGATGAAGTAGATTTTTTAAGCTTTGATACATGAAAGGATTGAAAGGCCACTAGAATTATTCATGTCTTCACTTTCTCACCTATGCCAGTTATCCACAGAACTGATTGAACTCTGCCACTTCTGATCAAGTGATAAATCATTATTTAACTCTAAATATTTTTAACCAGATGACAATTATTGCAAAAAAGTGATTAGAGCAAATTAACTTTAACTGCCTGTATTCTTTTTTATCAATGAAGTACTTACCTACTACTAAATGGCATAGTGGAATTATGTGTGCCTTCATCAAATGAGCTCTCAGTACTCCACTAGAGAAAAATAGAAGTTATCAAAAGTAATAATGTACTATGCTTATGTTTAAAATGCTAAACATATACCAAAACAATTGCTTACAGTATGTTCTAATTCCTGTATCTGCTTTTCGTAATGTTCTTCGGTGTCATCTAGTGGATATACACCCTGTCGTTGGCGATGTCGTTGTTGATATAAAGAGCGTAATTTTTGAATATATTCAGCACGGGACAAATCAGAAGTGGATTGTACTTCTTTACTTGGTGCAGAGCTATCATAATAAGAGTTTTTTTCTGAAAAATGATACAAATGCTATTTATATTAGGTTCCAACACTATTATCAATTTTCAAAAGGATATGCTTGACAGTTTTTCTAATTTGAGTATAAAATAAATTTATCTATATCTACCGATAAATGAAATTTAAGCTTTCTGAGGAAAGTAGGCCAAACCAAATCAATTAGTTAAAAAGAAAAACAAGCATTAAAAACACTTGTATTTCTTTCTTAAACTATTGAAGTCCTTAAATATTTGATATAAATCTTTGTTTTTAAGCAATGGAATAGGTTAAATTAGGATATAATTTAATTTAAAATAATTTTTGGCTTGATTTTACTTTCTTACGGAGGCAAAGTTGGTTGACACCTTGATGGACACTATTTTTAAAAGTTGTGGGTCAGAAACCCCTTCAGTCGAAATAAAATGTTTTTCTTCCAATACAGATCGTACGCAGTGGAAAAACCCTATAAACGCCAATGGGTGTAACTAATTGTTATTATTTTGACATTAGATTTAACGATTTATTTATTTCTTATTCCTGTGAGGTTCGAGGTTAGAAAGAAAATATTTTAGAAAGAAATGTTTTTAATAGAATGCCTCAGTTGGTGGGCCTATATTTTATTAATATATATTTCTACATAGCTTGTTCTACAATTATCATGAAATAGTAGGTCTGCACCAAAATACACTTGCTTATTTTTTAGTATCTTATTGGTCGACATAATTGAGAGGACGTAACAAGGTTTTTTCATGGACATATATTCTTTTAAAAAGGCTCTAGTAAGGGTTTAGTTCCAAGCTGACTGCAAAGTGCAAATACATCAGCATTTGTGCACTGATCATTAATATATATGCATATTGTTACAACTGTAATAAAGATCTCGCTTATCCCCCCCCCTTCTATCCAGGTGAGTGTTGGAGGACATTAACATAACATATCGCCTAGATCTAGTTAAAATTATTATTATTGACAAAAGACTTAAAGAATACACTTACACGTTAAATTGTCGATTTAGAAAAACCTTGGTGGTGCATTGTTAACAAAAAAATGCCCAATTTTACAACCAGGCCTAGAATGATTTTAGTGATCATTATAATATGTTTTGTCAAGCTTTGCATTTTTTGACCATGCTCAGAAATGATAAACAATTAAAGTGTTTTAACAGAAAAAAGGACCATCTTTCTGAAAATGCTAATAAAAATTTATACGATGACATAATCACATAATAATTTTCCACTTGCTTAGTTTTTTTACATTTAGAATATTTAACATTGTATGCATTTTTTAAATTTGGTACCCCACTACATGCTATTCAATTTTGCACATTTTACAGGTATTTGTAAAGAAATATGTTGAATGGTCCAAAAAGTCCCGGTAGTTGAATGGGGGTGGGGTGTGTGTGTGTGTGTGTGTGTCAAAATGCGTAACTGCCGTTGGAAAATCCACTCTCTGATAGTTTTCAATAGATAAATGAGATATATTGTGTAATATCAACTGTAAAAATTAGGTGGTTTAAAATTTACTTTTTAATGGTACTAAGCCCTTTTTATTATAGAAAATTTATTTTAAAAAGCGCTGTTATATTTTGACGTCACAGACGAAAAGCTGCATTTTTTCTGGGTGTAGGACAAAAGGCTGACAGCCGACAGGACATAAGGCAGACAGACCATAAGGCCGACAAACCATAAGGCAGACAATATAAAAATACTTGTATCGCAAAACGTGTTACTGCATAACTCATATCTAGACAACCATCGAAAAAGGGCATACAATAAGTCGAAAAGTTCAAGTGAAGAGTCTATGCCAGTTAATGCTATCCTTCTAAGGTGAACCATCGGGTCTAGCGACTGAAGACGACGGGAGTGTCTTAAACACAAAGGATCAACACCTATATATTGAGAAATACGGTCACTCGTATTTTCATAGCTCCTTCTATGTCAACAAAGTGAGACAACCATCAAAGAACCAAGTCAAAAGCCGCCAGCATTATCGCCCACATGCAAAAGGCGGAATGCCAAGAGACAATTCTAGTTGCGATCCGTGTATGGTTACAATGGGGTCCATGCGACTCGGGATGACAGGGGTGTACATAAGATGAACAGTTACCACCATATTTTGCAAAAAGAATGAAAAAAAAAAAACCATGACAATGATCTAAAATGGGACTCCAAGGACCCAAAACACAGTTGAGGGGTGGCACAGAAGGTGGCAGGTAATCGCCCGAAAAGATCAACATGGAGTCTTTTGTTTGTTATAAAAACTAAAACAAGAACAAGGAAGAGTGGAAGTAGATGGGGTAATATTGCTTGGTGAGCCATCAAAAAAAAAAAAAAACCCCACCCCAATTACATAAAGGGAAAGCAGATCTAGACTTGAATTTCTACGTGGCATAGCATACAATTTATCATACTAAGCCTTATTTTATTTCTATTTTGAAATATAACTTTATCATTATAACTGACTTTCAATAAAAATTAAACATGTCTGTAATTGTAGTCTGTGTTTTATAAAACTTGTCGGCCTTTTGTCTTGTCGGCCTTTTGGATGTCGGCCTTTTAGCTTTCGGCCTTTTGTCCGTGTCGGCCTTTTGTCCGGATCCCGTTTTTTCTTACTGTCTGACATACCTGGCAGCCCACAGGGATTTTTCTCGATGTTCTTAAGTGTTTAATCAACATTACCTTTATATTCTTGATTAATAGCTCTATGTGCTTGTAAAGAAGCAGCAGGATGGATATTTCTTGGATCTGAGTTTTCAACCTGGGGCCATTGATGATATATGTAGGGCTGATATTGAGTAGGTGATGAAGCCAATCCAATATCTGCATGAAGACTGTGAATAGAATCAGCAGTAGGAGTAAACTGTTGTCTACCTTGACCATCTAGGAAGCTTTTATATTTCATTTCAATCCTGAATACACAAATTAATTATAACCAAAAGGGCTCATCCATAATTTGTTTTTTATTTTATCTCCCCCCCCCCCCCCCCCCCCCCCTGTAAATCATCATCACTCATAATAGTATTTGCATTTTTAAAAAATGATTTTTTTCTCCAAAACATTGACTAAGTGACCAATTTGGGGTATTTTAATCAATTTTTATCAGAATTTATTAAAAATGTTTTGTAAAACGAATAATAACAACTAAAATTCAACATCTAACATTTTTACAATGCAAAAGTGTGACATCACACTATCTCAATCCCCCCTCCTCCCCCGTCATCATGATAAAATTACGGATTCCCCCCCCCCTCCCCTTACTGAGTTTGACATCATTTATGGACAACCCCTAAAAAGTTTACTACCAAGTCTATTTTAAATGTGATTTTAGAGTACACATTTTACAAGATTGTCCATTTTAATTTTTAGCTTAAAAAATATATTTACTTTGATGTCATTTATTATCAATTTGTAATTGACAAATTTCATCAGACATATCCTATCCATAAATATTAATATCAACTATCTTAATATATTGAGTAACCCTCAGTTTAGAATGTTATAGTGTTTATGATACAAATATGTCTTAAAATTTTATTATCTTTTACATTCAATTTTTTTTTCATTTCTTTTAATTGTTAGATTTTTTCAATGCTAATTTAAAATGCTGCAAGAATATAAAACAAATCAAGCAAAAAATGCTAAAGGAAAATAATCTCAAAGATAACGATTGAAAACAAAACATGGAATGATATTAGGAATATTAAAATGAATTTTAATTTTTAAACAATGTCATTGTTAAACAAGCTTTCAAAAAATCGCATTAAATCTAGTGATAATAATTATCTTTTATTAATAGACGCCTACTTCAACTTACTACTAATTGCAAAACCGCAAAATTATAAGGAATAATGTGTTATTTCATTTCGTAGGTAAGTGATACTGTAACAGGGGAGTGATTTGAAGTTTGTGCAGAAAGAGTGGAATTGGGTTGGGGTTTACATGGTGAGAGCATTGTTCAAATGATTTAGTGCAGTTAATGTAATAACTGTCTGTATAAAACATATAAAGCTACTAAGATAAATCCATTTGTTTTCAATGGTACCACTGACTCAAGATGATGAAATTTTTTTTTTTATCCTTTGGAACAGGCTTAGGCCACTGAAAATCTAGCAAAACATATTTTAAATAGGTTGTTTCATTTATATACTGACACCTCTGAAGAAGGGTGATTTAGTGAATCAGATTTTATACTGATAGAATAAGTAAATTCTCAGTTATTCACTTAGTAAACATTATAAAGTGTTTTACCTTCTTTTTTCTTCTATACCAGTTGTGTTATCTCTTTGTTGGAGATTCACATTAGTAACAAATGTAAGGTCAGTAATCCTCTCATTATCAATATTGTGTGCAATCCAACGATCTTTTGAAGGTCTATCTGATTTAAAATCTGATATTTCCAATGCTCTAGTGCCAGATCTTTCTTCTGATCGTGAACGACGAATAGCTTCTTCATTTGATTTGCGACCCTTGCCAAACCTGACAAAAAGCAAACATGATCTAGCATTTAAAAAATGTGTTGAGAATTAAGTTTCAATATCAACTCTATTTCTACAGGCAGCTAAAATTTGTACGGTTTCACAATGAAGTTAAAAAATATATTTATATTCTTCTGAAACCAAAATTTAAAGTGCCATTTAAATATTAAAGAAACAAAAGATCTTTTATAAAATGCTAATACTAAAAGCCTAAACTAATAACAAAAGTATACATTAATAATACCCTTTATTTGTGCCATTAAATAGAAGGTTGATTCCTCATTAAAACAATTTTTTGCACCATTATAAAATTTTTTTGATTTTTACAGTCACCTTAAAAATCCTTTAAATAGACTTCCTTTTTTTTCCTTATCTCTTTGTCTTTTAAGACTACTGTTTTCCTCATTTGGTTCACTGCTTATTGAAGAACGCCCAGAATGAGAAGGTTCCAAAGTAAAAGCACCACTTTCTGCACTCTCTTCCTCCACTATATATATATATATATATATAGATAGATAGATAGATAGAATAATTATGTATAAAACAAGAGTTTACTTAAACATTAAGGGACAAGAAAAAAAAACCCAGTTCAAATAAGGATAAGGAAAACACAAAACTTAGATGAACAAAGTGGTTGACAGCTAATTTTGATAGATTTCATAAATAAATAAACCAGGAGGGATCTCCCCTAAACTTTCTTGAATATTCTTATATAACACTACGGGGGATGGCAACTCGGGAAATAGACATGATTTTTAATCCATTTTAAATTACTTTAACTTTTTAAAGTAGATAAAATCTTATAGTAAAAAGAATTGCATACCGATTGAATGACAAACAATATGTGTATAATAGTGCGGAATATTGTTAGTACTTTATAAATTCATACTACTACTTCCTGTCAACGGAAATTATTCAAAATTTGACAGAAGACAGAGAATTAGATCCTTTACTTACATGTGAAATTTCATTTATCTATCTGAAACAGTACTCAAGTTATAGGCTTTTGAAAAACTTAAAGTAGAATAAGTTCTACTTCTGGTTATCGGAAATAGCTGTAAAGTTTATACAGAACTACAAATCTATATATATAATTCTCTTCTGGGAGACGCTAGAAAACAAGCTGTAAACGCGCTCCCTACCACCCCCACCCCTACATGGTCTGGTGAGCTGTGGTTCACTCTAAATATTTACAAACAGAGCCGGGTTTAGTGACGACTATTAGGGGCAGATAATTTAGTTTGAAACGATTTTAAACGTAGGGGGGGGGGGGTACCTAAGTAGAGTTTACTTTAACGGAGGGGGGGGGGGGGGGGAGGGGGTTATCATCCTTAACGAGCTACTTTTAGTGTTTTAAAGAAATATTTTTTTAGTGGCAGCGTTGGTAGTGTCGAATTCACAAATTGTGAATAACTGAAAAGTAGAAAAAACAACTAAATAGCGGCGTATGATATGCCGCGGGTCGGCTCGTTTGATATAATACTTGTACATGAAATGTCATCAACCTAGCTGTAATTCACCGTGGTGAAATACGGGTATGCAGCCAGTCTAAAATAATGCTGCTCTTCAAATGAAACTTACATTTCCCAAGCCTGGTTTCTTTACCGTTAATCTTGCACGTGCTATTCTTAGCATTATCCTTCATTATATTATTAAACAATATTTGCGATTGTGTTTTCTTTGTGTTTGAGTTTGCATTTGTGGTTGTGTTTGCGTTTGGATTTGTTTTCGTTTGCTTTTTTCTTTGCCTTTGTGTTTTCTTTGTGTTTGTGGTTGTGTTTGCTTTTTCGTTTGTATTTGTGTTTGTGTTATGTTTGCATTGTTTTTTTTTGGTGCGTTTTGGGTTTGTTTGGTTGTGGTTGTGTTTACGTTTGGATTTTTTGTTTGCGTTAGTGTTTGTGTTTTATTTGTGTTTATGGTTGGGTTTGTCTTTGCGTTTGTTTTTGTGTTTGTGTTTGTATTTGTCTTTGTGTTATGTTTGCGATTTTTGTGCGTTTTGGTTGGTTGTGGTTAGGATGGGTAATGCCTGTTATATGCTGATTACTAAACTCACAAGTTATGGTCCTTTACAGATACGTTTTTCAGAGATGCCAGTGCAGGGCCTGGCCGGGACGGCTAGTATTACAGTACGAAATCAACTCGTATCTCAATGTATTAGTGTCATATATATATATATATATAAAGCACAAAAGCGTGTCAATTTTTCTACTATAAAATGGATTAGATAAGTATTAAAATAAATACTTTTTTGGGTACATAATTTTACATGCATGTGTAAGAGTTTAGACATTGCCACTAGTGGTTGGCAGAGTTTCTTCTAAGCATCTCTTCCTCTCTACAGAAACACTGTCAGAAGTTAACACAATTTTAAGTGTTTTTGCCTCAGCAACATCATGATTCAACAAAACAACCAAGTAGACTGAGAAAATATAGGTATTGTATAGTAGTTTTAATGCTGAACAATATGATAAAACCAATGGAAAAAATCAAATACTTTTGCTAATCACTTACAAGTATCCATCAAAGAAGGGTCCAATGGGTCATATGATCTGTCAACTGCTGCACGAAAACTATCATTGCATGCTCTTCCACGACTTAAGCGACTGCTCTTCCATTTTTCTGAGGCCTCTTCATTTTTCTATCAGCAGGGTCATATATTAATATAGAATCACAAACACATTGAGCCTTAAATCTCTCAAATGGCAAATGCATAAACAATTGTGAAATAAGTAATATCTTTGTAAACTCTATTGCTGAACAGAAGACTAAGCATAGATATCGTTACAATTAGAACTAAAACCTTTATACTCATTGAGCTGTTTTTATGTGGTGATGGAGGGGAATGCAATTAAACTAAAAAAGTTAATGCAATTAAACAAAACTATTTACATTTTCTCTTCAGTATTATATATGTGAACGTCATAAATGGATGACCCCTAATATATATCTTAATGAAACATTCGTAGTAAAAAATAATAAAGTCAAGTAACAATTTCATTGTTGTTTATTCTTTTTGAAATTATGTTAGGCTAAGAGTTGTTTAGAACGACAGCCTGTTAAATGAGCACTTGATATTTTATTTTTTTCTTCTTGATATTTAAGAATTAAACTACTGGAATAAAAAAATTGGTATTTAGCTTTAAAATAAATGGTACCCTATTTTTCCAGCCAAGTTATTATTATAATAAATCCTCCCACTCCTAAACCTATAAGTTTTGGTTGGTAATTTATTTTTTTAAATTGAGGCGACACCTAAAAATAATGTGCCTCATGCTAAAATACATTATGATGATGTGTCACAGCTTGAATATTTACAAGTGTGGAAATTCCTACAAATGTATTTGTCTGAAACCCCAATCAGTAACCAGTATAATGTAGAATTGCACTTTGTCCTGTTGCTATTTTGTACTTGATGAAGATACATCTATTCAAAACATTTCTTTAAATATGTATGTGGGCATTTAAAAAAAAATTTGTAACAAGCTCATTCCATGTCTTAATAATAAATGAGTTAATTTTCAAGTTCCATAAATAACTTTTAATAAAACAATTATAAAATAGCAAGTTTGAAAGAAAAATGAATAATGCAAAAGAAATCAGTGTTTATTAAAGAAAAAATACCTGAAATTTGGATGAATTATTTTCTTCCATGTAATGTCTAGCACTTGCTAAACACTCTTCAGATGAGGATCTCTTCAGAATATTAACAACAGGTTCAGCTGTTGCAGTTTGAAGATTAGAAGTACCTAGAAAATAATTTTAATTTGATTGAAACCTAATATTGTGATGCAGTTTATGATTATAGGCACCTGGAAAATAATATTTTTACTTGTTATCTTAAGTTATTATTGAGGAAGCCAGATGTTTGCCCTAATGACTATTTACATAAATGCAACAAAATTCCAAATGTCCATTTGCCAGAATGGGACAAATTCTTAAATGCACATTTTCCAGAGTTGGACGATTGCCCAAAGTCAACAAGCGAGAATGGACAACTGCCCAAAAACATATTATGGATTAAAACTTATCTGTACATTTAAAAGAAAAGGCCATTTCTCCCATTCAGGTAAACACCCTTTGGGCAAACATCGTTCTGGCAAGTTTCTGTAGGCATTTATTATTGACCTGTAATTGATTATGAATTTTTAAAAGTTTTTTAAGCATCTCAACTATTTATCTTCTTTTTCAATATGGTCTGTAAAAAAATAATTATTAAAAAGAAAAATATAAAATCCTGAATGACAATAAATACAAATAAGATCAGTTTCTGTTAGTACAAGTTAATCAGCATGCAGACAGCCATGTTAGACATAAACATACAATATTCATCTGATTTTTCATTTAGCTGCTCTCACTGGAAAATGCAATGTGTCTTATCAACAAGACTGACACTGCAAATTATACAGGTGCAATGTCACCCATTTAACTGTATAATGAATAGTATTCCAGCATTTCATGATGAAAATTCAAATTTTACCATTATTAACTTCCAAAAACCATAAGCAACTTATCAGGACTTTCAGAAGAGAAAGCAAGATTTAGTTTCTATTATTTGAAATAATCTTGACATTGACTTTTGGAATGCCAATCTGAAGAGAGCAGGACCCCAGCTTTATACTACTTTATAGGTTAAATCTCAAGATTAAACTACTTTGTATTCATTTTGTAATAGTAAAGATCACAGCTTGAGAAATGTTTCTTTACTAAAAAGCAAGACATAAGTCTGATGAAAATGATAGTGCTCCAGTTCTCCAGTTTGTTTGTTTTTTAGTTTTGCCACTGCATTATTACAGTATATTTTAATTTTTATGCTTTTCCATATAAGATACATAGCATGGTGCAAATTTGGCTTTTTAAAAAACTCAATGAGGTAGTTACAAAAATGTAGTTACTACTATATTAAGTGATAAAACTTCAACAGGCGCAGCCGCCTAAGCCTCAGCGATTGCGTGACTCGAAGTGCTCTGGGCTCCCCTAGAGCACTGTGGCACCTATCGTCGTTTTAAAAAAGACTACACATTAAAGACACAATGGGTAGCAGTAATCGTTGACTATATCCAGAGTTCATACAATTTTTAAAAAAAAAGAAATTCCAGACAAAAAACGTGGGTACGTTCACCATCAAATTTCTAAAATTCGTGTGTTGTGTGCTTTTCGCTTTAATCATAAATCTGCCCGACCCACGTTTTTTTGTCATCAAATGTATGAACAGTCATCACAAGAACCTGCACAGCTCGAGGAAGCACAAAATCTACGTTTTAGTCCGTTGCTACACATGAAAAACGTGGTTTTTTAAAAGTTTTTTAAATAGTTTATTTTCTACTTTATCTAATGACTTGATTAAGTATGACTTGACTAAGTGTTTTTAAATACATAAAAATTTAGAGGATTTTTTATCAAAATAAAAAGGATCAAAAGGTTTTTGAATGCTTTTAGGTAGTTGGCCCAACGTCCATCCCTCCTCGAACAGATTAACTGTAGATTCTCCACCCACCTTAAGCATTACACTGTAAAACATTCAAAAAAAAAAATGTGGTAATAAAAAAAAGAATTGCACACCAAGTGAAAAGTTTCTCTTTCAAACCTGACGGTCTATGGGGCAAGTGAAGTAGAGTTCACTTGTTTCTGTGACCTCGGCATATGAAGAGATAGTGTGGTCAGCACTATGCCCAGCCGCCTTTACTTTCCCTAACAGGTACCCATCAGAGTTGGGTGGACTCAGGGACGGTCTACTGACTTGAACTCGGATTCGAACTCGAGACTAACGGGTTAGCAGTCCAGCTCTCTACCGCTAGACCACTCCGTCCCACACCAAATGAACGCCTAATAAAATGTGTATAAAAGTGCGGGATATTATTAGTACTTTATAAATTTACATGCGTTTTTGAGAAATCATGTCCTCAATTTTAGGGTCCTAGGGGCGTAATTTAATTAAGCTAATTTAGGTCTCTAATTGCTAGTTTTTATGATTGCATCTGAAATTGTTAGGCGAAAATAGCCTGCATGCCGAATTTCAGATCTCTAGAGCAATCAGAAGTGGGCTAATTTTCGTTGTCAATTTTAACAACAAACAAACGCGAAGCTGAGTTAATAAAAACGTGTTAAATAAAAATGAAATGGTTCAGTTTTTATCAATATCTGGGGGTAACTGACGTTTGGTAATATTCAGCTACTAATGGAAAGGTAATATTTGTGGATATAGAAACTAAAAATAAATAAAATCAAATAAAGTTAAGCATGCCTTAGAACTTCGAGGTAAAATAATCATGCTGGCAGAACAACATCACATACAGTGATAAATTAAACAACAAATCATTCATTTTAAGACACTGTTTAAAAAAAAGTATTTCTTTATATGATTCTAACAGCTTAAGTTTAAGTTTAAATTAAATTTAAACTCAAGTTTAAATTTTCTGCAATTTTTAAATTTCATGAAAAATCACATTTTACATCAGGTCTTGGTAAAATGAGAGACTTGAATCAGATTTATGGTAAAATGCTAGACATTATGACAAGACTTGTTTTCTTTAAAAGCTTGTTCAAAAGTTGTGTAAAAGAACTGTAATAGTTTCTTATCTAAGTTAAAGCATGCCTTTGCATGCCTGAAGCTGTTTCTTGATTTCAGTGTCAATCCATAGTAAAGTTCTATTTTCATCTTGCTTGCCTCATTCCTACCTGCTTTCTTAGTCATTATTTTATATCTCTGGGCTGAACAAAATAAAACAAGTTAATTAAAAAGCCTAGTGACATTTAAGCGCAATTTCCTTATGTTATCTAAAAATAACAATGACCAATAAAAAACTTTTACTTCGGCGCCCCACGTTTTTCATCGCTTATAGTAGAGTGATCGCTTGCATTATTGTGATGTATAGCATTTATTTTCTACTTTTTAGTTCAATCAGAAAACGCGTTTTTTTAAAACTTTTTTAATGATAATTATTTTCTACTTTTTAGTCTTTGTCTGTTTGTTTGCTTAAAATCTTGCTATCGATTTTATCTTTTCGCATTCACTTTTTTTTTTGGGTAAACGAAGACAACTCGTAAAAAACACGTGCCTTGAACCCGTGTCGAGTGGGTTAGCAATCGTGTGCCCAACCACTCGACCATATCGTCTCCCCCATACTGGCCACCAGTTGTTACTTTCTGGTATTTTTTAAATTTTAAAAGGGTAGGGCCCGGGAGGGAGCGATTCTTGTCTCTATATGGTATATATTAAAAAAAAATGAAAGTCGGATGCGGTTCGACACCATTTATCAGAGTGCTATAAAACTTTAAGGAGTTGATGAGAATACGCCCGAGGTTTATGTGAACAAAATAGTTAAAATTTGATAAGGGCGGCACCCAGGAGGATGCGATTTTCATAAATACACAGAGAATCTATGTTAGCACTTGGCATCCGTTAATCAGATGTTCTGCATAGCAGGTTAGGGCTACTACTATATTCTACATTAAAACTTCAACAGGTGCAACCGCTGGCGCCCCATAGATTGCACAACCCCAAGCGCCCTGTACGAAATTTGTGTATTTTACTTCCCTTTTTAATTTTTTCAAATAGTGAGAAAAGCCAATTTCAATGCAATTAATTAAATGATGTACTTATTTTTGAGGTTTGAAAAATATTGAGTCAGTTCTTTCTGTATGTGTGTTGGTGTTGAGTTCAAAAGATTGTGTTTGTGACATATACTTTTACAGATATAACCTCTCAAACATGGCACTTTTTAGGGTGTTGGAAAAAAAGTTAAAAGCCAATTTTTTAAAACGTCGTAACTTTTTTACTACTTAGAATCATGAGTTCTTGACATAGCAACTATCAAAAAGCTCTAGGGCCGTTTAAAAAAAAATCAGTTTGACACCCCTACATGGTGGACTCTAGGGGTTCCATCATCTAAGACCAAGACCATGAAATGTGAATTTAGCAAAAGCCCATTAGAGCAAACTTGATTTAGAAGGCCTGTAGTTTAATAAATGTAGAAATAAAGATGATAAAGATAGAAAGCAGACAATCTGAATGTCTAGCTACAAGAATAAAAATTCCTGGACTCTGCACTTTACTAGATGGTAGCCTACCACATGGTAACCTATATGCAGCAAGATATAAGTGTCAAATGATCTATGGGTTTTTGTGCATTTTACCACTTTGCCATTACAAGTTTCATGTCTCACATTTTACCAAACCATTCTACATCAATTATAAAGAAATTCACACAATTTGTTAATGAGAATTTACCTGTTAAATGAAATGAACGCATTCGATGACAAAAAATCCGACCTGTTTAAAAATGGTACAAGCAAAACTGGTTTCTGAGAATTAATATTAGAGTACACTATAGTTCTATTATGAGGACAGCGTGGTCTAGCGGTGGTGCTAGACGGCTAAGCAGGAAGTCTCAAGTTCAAATCCGGGTTCCATCAGTAGAAAGTCCCCGAGTCCATCCAGCTCTGATTGGTACCTAACTCAAGTTAGGGAAACAATAGTGGCTGGGTATAGTGCTGACCACATTATCCTCTTGTATGCCGAGGTCACAAAACAGATGAACTCTTTACACCATGTGTCTTGGTGTTTTAAAAGTATGAATCATTTGACAGATTTAAAAAAACCTCCGAATGGTAGGACTGTTTAGACACAATTTCAAGGGGTTTAGATAAAAGGAATAGTTAAAATTAGTTTATGGTTAATACAAGGGGTCATCCCTAAGTGACGTCACACTTTTTTGACAATTTTTACCTCGGCCCTTCCCACCTGTCA